AATGGCATAGCATTAACCACCCTCCGGTCTTCCAGCACTTCACCCATGGCGTCAATGATACAAATATCTCTGCAAGGGGCCCCACAATCACTTGTCTAGCTCCCCACAATGTCCTGGGATACATGAGAACTTGAAATGCCACAACATTCAAGGCTATTGCCCAAATGCAGGAAAGTCAGGTGTTGATTTAGAGTAGTTTTTGTTGCTGCGGACTTTATGGGCCAAAGAACCTCTTCTGTACAATATGATTATATGATTCTATGAGGGCAAAATTAGAGTATATGAGAAAGTTAGCCAAAAACATACAAACAGACAATGAAGTTTATTCAGATATTTCAGAAAGAAAAGAGTTGACAATGCAAATGTTGGTCCTGTAGAAAATAAATCTCGAAAATTAGTAATGGAGGATACGAGGTGGCAGATGTATTGAGCAGATATTTTAGTGGATCTTCACTATAGAGGATACAAATAATATCCTAGAAAAATGTTCCAAATCAGGAATTGAAAGGAAGGGAGAAACCCAAGAAAATTGCAATTACCAGAGAAGTGGCACTGAGTACATTATTGAAACTACAAGTTGACAAGTTCCTAGCCCCTGATGGATTTAATCGTAGGGTCTTAAAAGAAGTAACTAGTGAGATAGTTAGCTGTTAATTTACCAAAATTCAATAGATTTAGTGAAAATTCCTTTAGGTTGGAAAATAACTGTTGTAATTTCTTTATCCAAAATGGGAAGGAAGCTGGAAGCAGGAAACCACAGGCCAATCAGCTTAACTTTTGTCACACGGAGATAAGTACAAGGTAATCAGGCAGCATAAACATGGCTTTATCAAAGGGAAATCATGTTTAATTAACTTATTGGAGTCCTTTGGTGAAGCATCTTGTGCTGGGGTTTAAGGAAAATCAATACAATACAATACAATACAACACAAGAACAAGCCCATTGCCCACCAAACCTGTGCCAATTCCTAACCCTTATTTAGATCCGCTACTTATTGCCCATGCACGATTTCTGTTCCTCTGTTCCCTCCCGTTTATGTGTCTGTCAAGATACACCTTAATGCTAACGTGCCTGTTTCCACCACCTCCACTAGCAGTGTGATCTAGACACTCACCATCCTCTGTGTGAAAAATTTTCTGCACACTTCTCCCCTAAACCCTTGCCCCACTCACCTTGAATCTATGTCCTCTTGTAGTTGACCTTTCCATCCTATGAAAAAGCTCTGACTATCCACCTGATCTATGCCTGTCATAATTTTGTAGACCTCTATCAGGTTGCCTCTCAGCTTCCGTCTTTCCAGCGATAAGTAGATGAATTAATTATATTTTAGATTTCTGGTATGCATTTAATAAAGTCACAGCATAAGTTATTGTGGAAAATATAACCCATGGTATTGAGGTAATATTTGGCATAAATAGAAGAATGGCTGGCTAACAGGAAGCAGAAAGTTGGAAGAAATGGGTCTTTTTAAGGTTGGCAGGATGTCACAAGTGATACGTCACATGGGTCGGTGCTGGGGTCTGAACTCTACGATTTATAAAAATACTTTTGATGAAGGGACCAATGGAATGGAAGCTAAATTTGCTGATGTCAGAAGGATAGGTAGGAAACTGAGTTGTAAAGAAGACCGAGGAGCCTAAAAATTGATCTGTATGGGTTAGGTTAGTGGGCAAAAATCTGGTAAATGGAGTGTAATGTGGAAAAATGTAAAATTGTTCATTTTGGCAGAAGACATATAAAAAGAAGCAAAAATACAAATGGTGACATGTTGCAGAGCTCCGAGATGCAGAAAGATTTGGGTGCCCTAGTGTATTAGTCAGAAAAATTTAGATTGCAGGAACAACAATTAATCAAGAAAACTAGGAGATTGTAATGTTTTATTGCAAGGGGAATTGAATACAAGAGTAAGGTGTTATGAATCGGTTATACAGAACTTTGGTAAAACCACATCTGGAGTATCGTGTACAGTGCTTGTTACCATACTTAGAGAATGATGTTAACACATTGAAAGCAGTTTATATAGTGATGTTTTTATTCATTCGTGGGATGTGAGCATCGCTGACTGGCCAGCATTTATTACCCGTCCCTAGTTGCCCTTGAAATGGTATTGAGCTACCTTTGTGAACTACTGCCATCCACGTGCTATAGATAGACCCACAATGCCTTAGGGCAATTACTCGGATTTAGATCCAGGGACCACAATATATTTCCAGGTCAGGATAATGAGTACCCTGGAGGGGAATTTGCAGTTGGTGGTGTTGCCCTGTATTTTCTACCCTTGTCCTTCTAGATGGAAGTGATTGGAAGGTGAACTTCTGCATCTTGTAGATAGTATACACTGCTGCTGCTGAGCATTGTTGATGGAGACAGTGGATGCTTGTGGATGTGATGCCAATCAAGTGGGCTGCTGTTCCTGGATGGAGTCAAGCTTCTTGAGAGTTATTGAAGCTGTACCGATCCAGGCAAGTAAGCAGTATTACATCACACTCCTGACCTTTACCTTGTAGATGGTGGACAGACTTTGGGGAGTCAGGAGGTGAGTCACTCACTGCAGTCTGCTTAGCCTCTGACCTGCTGTTGTAGCCACTGTGTTCCTGTGGTAAGTCCAGTTGAGTTTCTAGTCAATGGTAACTTCCAGGATGTTAATAGTAAGCGAATTCAGTGATGGTAACACGGTTGAATGTCAGGGGGCTGTGGGTTAGATTGTCTCTTATTGGAGATGGTTATTGCCTGGCATTTGTGTGACACAAATGTTCCTTGCCATATGTCAGCCCAAGTTTGGATATTCCCCAAATCTCGTTGCATTTGAACATGAACTGCTTCAGTGTCTGAGGAGTTGCAAATGGTGCTGAGCATTGTGCAATCATCGATGAACATTCCCATTTCCAACCTTATGATGGAGGGAGGGTCATTGATGAAACAGCTGAAGATGGTTTGGTCTAGGACACTATGCTGAGAAACTCCTGTAGAGACGTCCTGGAGCTGAGATGGCTAGTCTCAACAACCATCTTCCTGTATGCCAGGGCTGTTTCTGCCATTATCTTTTCCAATGTGTATATTGATGCCAGGTGGCCTATGTGGTTTCATTTCTTCTTTAAAACTTTGCATTAATTTATACAGCTGAATGGCTTGCTGGGCCATTTCAGAGGGCAGTTAAGTGTCAACCACATTGCTGTGGGCCTGGAGTCACATATAGGCCAGGTCTGGTGAGGATGGCAGATTACCCTTCCTGAGCCATGTGTGTTTTTCCATCAATGGTTTCATGGTCATCAGTAGATTCTCAATTCCAAATATTTTTATTGAATTCAAATTCCACCATCGAGCCTGGATCCCCAGAACATTTGCTGAGTTTCTGGATTAAGAGTCTAGCGATAATATCACTAGGCCATCATCTTCCCTTCACTAGACTAATATTTGAAATGAGCAGTTTACCTTATGAGGAAAGGTGAGACAGGTGATCTGATTGAAACATACAAGATCCTGAGGGGACTTGACCAGATGGATGTGGAAAGGATGCTTGCCCTTGTAGGTCAGTCCAGAATTAGGGGTTGTAGTTTAAATATAAGGTGTTGTCCATTTAAGTCGGAGATGAGAAAAAAATTCTTTTGAGGGTCATGAGTCTTCGAAATTCCCATTCTCAAAAGGCACTGGATGCAGAATCTTTAAATATTTAGGGGCAGAGGTAGATGGATTCTTGATTACCATTGAGATGAATATGCAAAAATATAGAGTTGAGGTTAAAATCAGATCAGCATGAACTCATTGAATGGTGGAGCAGGCCAGAGGAGATGAATAGTCTACTCTTTTTCCTTGTTCATATGTTTGTGTGCTCCAAGGGAACCAGCTACATGCACCCCATATCCATGAGCATTGGCAAATGAAATGAGCCAGCTGCTAACAACCCTTATGGCACTCCTCCAATCCATTCACAGGATGTTTTGACACTTCAGTGCTGCAACTTGGGCTGCATTGTCAACTATCATTGTCATGCTGCAGCATAGGCATTTTGCGCTCATAGCCATGCACTCACCTCAGGGATAGAATCAGGATACATCTTCAGGCTCTTCACTTGCTCTCATATCACTCAAAGGAGATGATGGCCTAGTGGAATTATTGCTGGACTGTTAACCCATCTTCCCAGATAATGTTCTGGGGACCCAAGTTCAAATCTTGTCATGGCAGAATTTGAATTCAATAATTACTTGAAATGAAAGAGTCTAATGATGACTATGAATCCATTGTCAATTTTCAGAAAAAACTCATCTGGTTCACTAATGTTTTTTGGTGAAGGAAACTGCTGTCCTTACCCAGTCTGGTCTACACGTGACTTCAGATCCATAGCAATGTGGTTGACTCTTAACTGCCTTCTGAGCAATTAGCAATGGGCAATAAATGCTGCCTGGCCAGCAATGCCCTCATCCTGTAAATGAACAAAGGAAAAAAAAGACTCACTCGCTCCAAACCTATTTGGCTGTGTGTAGCAGCCCCATCTTGTATTGCCTTTCCTTGACTTGACTTTTTGTGCTTTGTCTCATCAGACAGAGATACTAGGCTCCTATTACTGCTGTTTTGCTATGCAGTTTGGTATAGAGAAAACCTATGAACCCGACCATAGTTGTCTGCAGGTCCATGTCAAGTCAGGGTAATAGCCTTCACTCATGGGTTCACAGCACAGTAAGTCAAGGGAAGCCTCGGATACAGGACCAGGCCCTGCTCGGGGCTATCTGAGTCAGGCTCTTCTCCTCTTAAGGTGATCCCTACACCTTTGAAGCATGGAACAGACAGTAGTTAAGCAAATATTCTTGAAACCCTAGAGAAAGAGACTCCTATAACATCCATAGTGAGTGGCAAATAACATTTTTTCCACGTGTATCTGGATTGACTTAATTTGTAACCTTATAGCCAGAATTGAATGCTGTGTAATCATTTCATGGAATAGATATAAACATTTTTTCTAAAATTGTTCAAAATTAAGATGAAAATTCATTTACATTTACAGATCACAGAAATGGTTGAAACATCAAAGACATTTTCTGCATTGAAGAATTCTACAATTGAAGGAATTGAGATACTCGCAATAAAATACCAGAATATCTACTTAAATCTCAAAAAAAGCAATTATGACATTTTGGATCCTCGAAAGAAAGAATTTAATTCAGAATATGCCCTGTTCATGAAGCAAATATTTGATTTAGAGGTAACAGCTAGTTAGTGAAAATGTATTCTGAGGGTTACAGAAGAGAGAGGGGCTGTGGTCGCATTTTTGGTAATGCTTGGTAATGATACTGGCGTTTTGTTTTTATTTAAAGATTCTGATCAATGGTCTGGGGTCATGAGCTGAAGTTGCTTCATGGCAGCTGGGATTTTTTTATGTCAACTCATTTGAAATTGAAAATGATAGTCTTAATGATAATAAAACCAGTAGATTGTGTTGCCCAGTTGCCGTCCTTGACAACAGTTATTGGCTTGGCACAAAGAGGACAAGAGTCAAATCTGTATCAACTAACCACCAACTTTATTAGTTTTGTTAAAAGAGCCATACAATTCACACTGTTTAAGAAAAGGTTAACAGCAGGCACGCAGTACATACAAGGCTAAATTCCAAGCACACATCCATTAAATTTTCTAAATAATGTTCCCTGAACAGTCATCTAAAATGAAAGCTAATACATTAAGAATAGAAGCTCACCCTTGCCAGGAAATTTCTCCAAGTCTTGTGGTCCTCTCCACCCTTCCAAGTGTGGTGTCGAGGACTTTGTGAAGGTTGCTGTCTGGGGTTTTTTGATGGCACACCGAAATCCTTCATTTTTTATCCTTTCCTCTTATCTTCCCAAACTGTGGTGTCTTGTACTTGTTAGTTCTTAGCTCATCTGATGAGCTGTTGTCTTTCCACTATAGGCTCACTCCAAGGACACCTTTAGGATTACCTCATTACTCTTCTTCCAAGTAAGGACTTGCATTTTATGTTATCCTCAAAGCAGATCGAGTTTGAGCCAGCCCAAGCTGGCGGCTGGGGCTTGGCTAACTTCACAAGCTTGCTGTTTTTATGTGTGAGCAGCCCCTGGCCAACATCTCCCCCCTCTTGACCCAAATCTTGATACATATCTTTGGATCATCATTTTCCCTTCATTCTGCTAACCGCTTATAGGCTCGCCGTTGACCCCAGTGGGTGTGTTACAGCTGTGTTATGATATATATGAAACATTTAGCTACTTAATTAAAAAAATGTCCAACTACTTAATTCACACAATCCCTTTATAATAACAATAGTCCCTTCTGTTTTGATGAAGCTTTAACTTCTAAATTTCATTTAATTTCATTTAGAACAAAGAACAAAGTACAATATAGCAGAATAACAGGCCCTTCAACCCTCCAAGTCTGTGCTGACTCATTTTGCTGTTCCATATTAAAACTGTCTTGCAGGATCCGAATCCTTCTATTCCCTTCCTATTCATGTATTTGTCTGTGTGCTTCTTGAATGCTGCTATTGTGTCTGCTTCCATCACCTCCTCTGGCACTGTGTTCCAGGCATTCACCACCCTTGGTGTGAAAAATGTGCCTTGCACATTTCTTTTAAACTTCCCCCCTCGCACCTTGAACCTGTGCCCCCCACTGAGTGACCACTCCACCCTGGGAAGAATCCTCATACTTTCCGTTCTATCCATGCCATTCACAATCTTTTAAACTACTATTAGGCCACCTCTCAACCTCCTGCATTCCAGTGAAAACAAATCCAGTCTATTCAACCTTTCTTCAAAGCTAAAATCCCCCATACCAGGCAACACCCTGGTAAACCTTTTCTGTATTGTTTCCAACGCATCCGCATCCTTCTGGTAGAGTGGCAACCAGAACTGTGTGCAATATTCCACATGTACTTGACCTCCCAAAATACACAACCTCACATTCGTCCAGATTAAATTCTATCTGCCATTTTTCTGCCCATGCCTCCAATTGATCTATATCCTCTGACAATCCTCCTCACTATCCGCAACGCCACCAGCCTTTGTATCGTCCGCAAACTTACAAATTAGACCAGCCACATTTTACGCCAAATCATTTATGTAGACCACAAGCAGCAAAGGTCCCAGCACTGATCCAAGTGGAACACCATTAGTCACAACCCTCCATTCTGAAAAGCATCCTTCGATCACTACCCTCTGTCTCCTACAACAAAGCCAGTTCTGTATCCATAATACCAGCTCATTCCTAATACCATGTGACTTCACCTTTTGTACCAGTCTGCCCTGAATGACCTTGTCAAAGGCTTTACTGAAGTCCATGTAAAGAATGTCAACCACTTTTTCCTCAACAATAATTTTTGTCACCTCCTCAAAAAACTCAATCAAGTTAGTGAGACATGACCTTCCCTGCATAAAACCATGCTGTTTATCGCTAATCTGTCCATTTGCTTTTAAATGCTTATAGATTTTGTCCCTGAGGCTCTTTCCCAATAATCTCCCTATCTCTGACATGAGACTCCCATGCCTGTAATTTCCTGGATTATACCTGTCACCCTTTTTAAACAATGGGACAATAGTAGCTATTCTGCACTCCTTTGGGATCTCACCTGTGGCCAAAGAGGATACAAAGATATCTGTCAATGCTCCAGCAATTTGTTCTTTTGCCTCCCTCAATATTCTGGGATAGATCCCATCAGGACCTGGGGACATATCTATCTTAATACTTTTTAAGATGCACAAAACCTCTTCCTTTTTAATTGCAACTTGGTTTAGAAATTCGACATTCCCTTCTTTGAGATTATCTTCCACCAATTCCTTCTCTTTGGTGAATACCGATACAAAGTATTTGTTTAAGACCTCACTTACCTCATCTGGCTCCTTTGTCCTTGAGTAGACCAACCATGGCTACCCTCTTGCTTTAAACATATGTAAAAAAGCCTTCGGATTTTCCTTAACCCTGTTTGCTAACAATGTTTCAGGATCCCTTTTAGCCCTCCTAATTACTTGCTTAAGTTCTTTCCTACTTACCTTATATACTTCCAACAGCTTTGTCAGTTCTCATTCTCCTAGACCTTACATATACTTCCTTTCACTTTTTGACCAAGGTCATAACATCCCTGGTCATCCAAAGTCCACGTAACTTGCCATACCTACCCTTCATTCTCGCAGGAATGTGCCGTTTGAAATACTCCATGTCCGATGTGGATTTACCCTCAAACAGCCACGTCCAATCAACACTGTCCAGTTCCTGCCTAATATTGTTGCAGTTCGCCTTCCCCCAGTTTACCACCTTTACCCAAGGACTGATGTTATCCCTATCCATGAGTAACTTGAAACTCACGGTATTGTGGTCACTACTCCCAAAAAGCTGCCCCACTGAAACCTCACTCACCTTGCCAGGCTCATTCTTTCTGATGAAGGGTCTAGGCCCGAAACGTCAGCCTCTCTGCTCCTATGATGCTGCTTGGCCTGCTGTGTTCATCCAGCCCTGCACCTTGTTGTCCCAGTATAACCCCTTCCCTGGTTGGATTGATTACATACTGTGTCAAGAAACCCTCCTGAAATATCCTTACAAATTCTGCTCCGTCCAAGCCCCTAGCATGACGTGAATCCCAGTCAATACAGGGGAAGTTAAAATCACTCAGCACAACAACCCTGCTGGTTTTACATCTTTCTAAAATCTGTCTATATATTCTCTCCTCTATCTCCCACTGGCTAATGGGAGGCCTACAATATACCCCCACATTGTGATTTCACCTTTCCTATTCCTGAGATCTACCTATACTGCCTCACTGCACGAGTCCTCTGGTGTATCCTCACTCAGTACAGCTGTCAGACACTCCTTTATCAGTAATGCACTCCCCCACCCCTTTCTATGACACCTGAAGCATCTAAATCCTGGTACATTCAGCTGCCAGTCCTGTCCTTCTTCCAGCCAAGTCTCCGTAATTGCAATAATATGATAGTTCCAAGTACTAATCAATACTGTGAGTTCATCTACCTTGCCAGTTATACTTATTGCATTGGAAGAATTTTTCCACCTTTGGAGCTGATACATGTTAACTATTACAATTCCAAGTATACACAGATCAATATTAAAGCTGTACGCAACAATATTCACACCCATGGATGTATTTGAACTTCTGATTCCCAATTCCAAGGTTTACTCCAAAAACTGGGGTCACACAACCTCTCCAAGTCAGAAGTCACACAACACCAGGTTATCTTCCAACAGGTTTATTTGAAAACACAAGCTTTCAGAGTGCTGCCCCTTCAACGGGTAGTGTATCACCTGAGGAAGGAGCAGCAATCCGAAAGCTTTTGATTTAAAGTAAATCTGTTGGACTATAACCTGGTGTCATGTGACTTCTGATTTTGTACACCCCATTCTACCACCTGCATCTACACAGCACAACATCTCATTTGCCTTATCTGCATGTGTTCTGATTGTTTTGGTGTGTTTAGTCCATAGATGGATTTTCTCCTTTGTCTCTTCTGCAATTTGTGTTTCCTTCATTACTGCTTATATTACTGGCTGAAGCAAAGTTTGTCTTCCAAAAACATAGACTGAGGTCACGTTTTTGATGGCTACATTGTGTCCTTTGGTCTCTGAGTGCAATGATCTGCTCAAATTTTTTTTCTCAGCTAATCAATTTTCATACCTTGTCCTAAAATTCACTATATTTGAATTCTCTGACCTCTGAATAGTATAAATTCAGATTCATGCTCCTTAATTTAGTTTTTTTTATCCTCCAGTTCTTTATCTGCAGATTACCTCACCCACTAATGGTAAAATAATATTATACATGGACTGCCCACTATCACTCCTCCCAGAGTCCATATTCTTTAATTTCTGTAATATTTTGACATAACAGCCAATCACACCTTTTATTTTGATTGTTTTTTTTTAACCTCCCCTTCACTAATATTACTTTCATTGTTTTAAAATCAGTTTCACCTTGGATTATGTGTCAGTCATAATTTAAACAACGTTTCTAAGCTCTTGCAGGCCACACTAATCCTTTTGTCAAGTAGGTGTACATGTCTGAGACCCATTCTTCTTTACATTTCTTTTACCATGCATTCCCTCATGTTTGTTACCTCCAAAGTAACAATCACTTTTGCACACTTACATCAGTATCCCAAGACCATATCACACGTTCTTGACTCTCGTATGATCTTATCAAAACATCTATGAAGTTTTACTTAATTCTCCACGTATAGTCCCAATGCCTTG